GATTTAATTTAATGGTAAGTCAATGCTAATGTTATTAAATCTATATGTAGGGCAGTAGTAGCTGATCCATAAATAGGTGGGCTACTTACCATCCTTTGTTACTGGAGATGATGCTACTGATTAACCATCAGAGGAACAAGGAGAAATATTCCCCTCTCTCCCATCTCCAGGAGTGGTGATAGATTTATACTTAGTCATTCAAATATTTCTATTCTGCTCGATTCCTTACAACCACCCGTATTCACTTTGCAAGATGGCTGGCTTGGATTAAGACTGTAGTTTGGGGCTAGAAAAAGTTAGCAAAGCTAGCTTCCAATAGTACTTAAACCTGTACTTATTTGGAAATTATTTGGAAATGAGATGATTGTGCTAGATTGTCTACAAGGTTCTATCTCCTTGTTCTAACTATATGTTCCTAGTATTCTATGATTCTGCGACCAACCAAAAACTCTAAAATTACTAGAAAACAGCATAAATAGGAAGTGCTAACACCCAAACTGTGTCTTACACAGAGGCAGAGAATAATCACACCCATTTTATAATTCAGAATTTTATAGGACTGAATTAAAGGATCATAAGCTCTAAGAGAGTGGTGTCAAATACAAATGGATTCCTATGGCCAGCATATCGACTTAGAAAACCACATATTAACATTATCTATGTCTATTATTTTTAAATTTTATTTTGTTAAATATTTCCTAATTACATTTTAACACATTTCTGGCTGCATTTAGGAGAATTGCTAGCTGAACATGTAGCCAGTGGTGGGTTCATGTACGATATGTCTGCTGAAAGGGACCTTAGAAGTTATCATGTCCAACTGTTTCATTTTACAGACAGGAAAACTAATTCAAAGAGAGATTAGATGATTGACCTAGATCACACAACTGGAATGTGTCTAAGTGGAATTCAACACCAGGCCTTCGTTATTCCAAGTTTAGCATTCTCTCCACTCTATAGAATTGTTGTCAAAGTCTCTCATTATGTGGGTTTTGACAAAGCTTGGAGTGTGGTACACATGGGAGAGTGGAAAGTGGCACTGATTTTGAGTCAGAGGACCATGATTTTAATCCTAGCTTTACATGTTACTGTTTGTATGATATCTCTGGGGCTGTTTCCTCTTGTCTAAAATAAAGGAATCAGAATGGATGGCCTCAAGTGTCCCTTCAAACCCTAAGATTATGTTCTTTTAATAGTAGGATCACAATTTTAGATCCTCAAGAAATATTGACCCTCAGCTCTAGCATTTATATACATTTGGAATGGATGTACATTCAATAAGAATAACATTTAAATGTCCACCATAGCTGAAATGACTATCTCATCTGGATGCAAAGATTTCTAATGGACCAGATCCAACTTATTATTGCCAAAACCTTTGCAATGAATGCCTGTGATAAAACAATATCATGAAAATGATACAAGCAGCATTGTAACTCAGGCAAGGAGACCAAGGCTTAGTCCAAGGGAGCTGAAATGTTGTGAGTATTGACTATGCTTTTATTCCTTCAGCAAGGTAAAACAACTGAGCCTAACACATAGTTATAATCATGATACATTGGTAGCTAAACCAAAGTCACATTTGGAGGCACTGGGACGGATTTACCAAGACCAAGTGAGATGCAGCTGTTGGGGTTTTTTTGTGTTTTTTTTTCCCTATCCTGTAGTCCTAGATCATGATAAAATGTTTAGGGTGATTCTCATTCTACCTTCTCTTACATTAAACAAACACATACACACTATTCATTTTATGAAAAAGAACGGAATTATACATATATCATTAACAGTATTCTTACCTCATCTAGACACTACAAAAAATATAATTTGGTAAGCTCCATGTGGTTCAAATTTGTGATTTTTACCAATGTAAAAGTCTGCCCTCTGGTACAGAAAATCTCCACACAACAGCAACTCCTTTTGGTATTTATAATCTTAAAGAGGTGCCTGGTTCATTCTGGTTGAATGACTTGGCCATGGTCACACAGCCATCATGCATAGTGTGTTTCAGAAAACAAGACATGTATGTAACTCTTTCTGACTCCAAAGTCAGTCACTGCTCTCAAGGAGCCCACATTCTAACTCACTATATCTTGTAATGCCAGAATGAGAAGGAACTACATGGATTTTTAGTCTAGGAGAAATAGTTTAGTTTTTCCCTTGTTTGTAATAGAATACAGGTTGAATATAAAATATAGTTTCAAAATTTAGATAATTAAATGAATATAAGCTCTTTTAGCACAGTAACCATCTCCCCTCTCTCTTTCTCTGTCTGTCTGTCTGTCTCTTCCTAGTGTATAACTCCTAGCACATACAGGTACTTAATAACTGTTTGTTGATTTGTTGAATCATTGCTCTGTAATGGGTCATTTAGGGAAACTTGGATTTTTTTTGGGGGGTGGTAGATCTCTAAGTTTTAGGCTGACATCAAGGAGCATAACCATATGCCCTTGGTGTCATTATCAGAGATAATGTGATTGAAAGAGAATAATGATTCCTATGCTACATTTGCCTTTCTGTTTAAAATAGGTACTAAAAAAAACACAAAAACTAGCTTTCTCATCTGAAATGTGACCCAAAGGAAAAGGAAGCAAAGAGACAAAAAAAGCTACGGCTTTTAAGAAACAAATAACTCATTAGGTAGAGGATGTCAGGCATTTCCCAATTACTTTGTGAGAGTCCTTACAGATGTACTTCTGAGAAAGGTTTCAGAGATAAGCCCTACCATCATAACGCTCAAATCAAAATTTATCAAAAACTACTTGACAATGTCTTTAGATTAAGTGAAAGGTTTTTAATAACACTTTAGTATAGGATTGGTTTCAACATCTTTCTATTACCAGAGATGCTTGAGCTCAATTGTATTTTCAGATTTAAATGGTTTTAAACCTTACCACTTAAAGCTTTATTTAGTATTTCCAAAAGAGAAGGCGCCAATCTACATTAGTAAAAGAAATTCTAACCAAGCATTCCTAACGTGAATTTTAAGAAGAATGAATAGAGACATGTAAGAAATGTTATGAGTTCCTCCATTAGTGTACTCATTAGCCTGAGTTCAACCTCAAGGGAGAACACCTTCCACACCCTCCCACACAGTGAAGTTTTTCAGGCTGCAGATAGGACAAGAGTTGGCAATAAGCAAGACTGGGAGGGGGTGGAGGTGGGGAAATTGTCAGCAAACGCTGAGCTATATAAATACTAGTCTTGCATTTGTAAGGTAACTGCTTCAGAATAATTCATCACATTGGAATCAACATTTGATCTAAATGTTCCATATATTATGCCATCCCATGAGAATAACAATATTCTCCCTTCCCAAAGGTGAATGAGAAATTTGTTGACACAAACACCTTCTTTGAGCTAATGTACTGGTTGTTCAGTGGAATATTATCATTTTCAGGTCCAGAAGGTTATCAGAGAATCCTATGTGATTCCTTAACTAAATACTCCTGACTCAGATGAGCCTGACCCATGTGGGCCAACTCATTGATCAATGGAGAATTGAGTGGCATCTACCATCTTTTGCGCCCTTGCGAGATGACCAGATGTACCATCTTGTGGCAAGAACAGTTTCTAATTTTCACTTGGAATTGCTGATGTTCTAGAAGCCTAATCAACAAAGTAAGCCTTCTAGGGAGAAGTTTACCCTTTGTAAAAAACTCCTTGGCTCCACTGACATGGAAATTTGAATTGGCTTCTAAAAGAACTAAAACTGACTGAAAAGGACAGAGGAAGCAAAGAGAAAAGCATTCCAAAATTATCAAAATTGCACAAGCACAATGATTTATTGTTATACCCAACTAACATTTTCACTAGAATTCTTCTCTTAAATAGTAATATAAATAAAATATTTCCCTGTATGTATATGTATGTATATATCTGTGTGTATGTATAGGCCTCAGGAAAATCTGAGTTCAAATATCACCTCTCATATTTATTGGAATATGGCAATGATCAGATCAATTAACCTCTCATGGCTCCAGACTACTTGCTAAAGCTATAAGCTCCCAAATAGATAGGGCTTCTTCATTAGGAGCTCCTGATATCAATAAATAACAAGTATGTTCTAAATATGTATATGTGGAGTACATACCCTGCACTTCTTTAGAACTATAAGGATCCCAATATTCAGGCCAACAGGGAGGAGGGAGAGACAGAGAGGTCTATATGTGCTGTAGTTTTATAGATAGATAGATATAGATAGATATATACTTATATAGATATAGATATATAGATATATACATACACACACATATATGTATATATATATACATATACATGCATATGTGTATACACATGGCATACATACATACATACATTCTTATATTTTGAATTTTATGTAAACCTCTCAGAAGTAGCCATCATCTTGTTTATTATGTAAAGTATTTTTTGGCTGGTGCTACATAATATCCAATGCACAAATATATGTAACACTTGGGAACATTACAAGTATTTACAGGTTTAGTATTTTGGACAAAATATCTGACTGACATGCTGTATTTTTCACTTCACATGAAAACATATCATCATTTTATACACAGTTACACTAATAAATTTAAATCCACAGATTTATTATTAGGATACCCCCAAAGCTGTGGAATGAGTATAACATTAAAATAATAATTTCTCATGTGATTTTTATCCTTTGTCCCAGAGCTATTCAAATTAATATATGCCATTGAGGTTCTATAACTTAGATATATCACCATAAATGTCAACGCAAGCTGTACTCACCCCAATCCAACAAAATCAGTGGCTTCTTACCTCGATCACTGTCATAAAGGTATGCAAATTTGTCCCACTGGTAGTATTCAATCAAGCTAAGAAGAGCTCCTTTGAGGTCAGGTCTCATCTGAATGACAAATGGATGTGTTCCATCTGTTGGGAAGCTGGGAGTGATGAAGGAGACATGAAGAGTTCCACAAAAGGATGTAATAGTATTTACAGACTTCTTGTCATAAAATCCAAAAATAGCATAACGCCTCTTGAAAACTGGGAGCAGACTAGAAGAGAAAAAGAAACACAGAGAAAGGGAGAGACTGAATCATTACAGAAATACACATTTATTTTAAATCTGCTACTCAACAAGATGTGATGACATGCATCTGTAATTCCTCCTACTGTTACATTGACACTAGAGGATTACCTGACCTTGAAGTTCTGAGCTCCAGGGTGAATAAAGCTGATTGGATATTTACACAAAGTGCACAACAAAGTGGCAAATCCCTGGAGAGTGGGTGACCACCAGGCTTTACAATAAGAAGCAAACTGGTCTTGGTCAGAAAAGGAGCTGGTCAAAGGTTCTGTATTGATCTGCAGTGGTACTGAGTCAATGGGTCACTTTACCTCTAGCCTGGGTAAGATAGAGTGACTCAATATCAAAAAATTAAAAAATAAAAATAAAAAATCCTTCTCTGACCCCAAACGTTTAATGTTGATTGCAAGTTATATATAATAGAAATTCTCAGTTTCTTAGATAGTCCTCTTTTTTCCAGTTTTTCCAAATATAAGAAAATACCCATTTGATTTGGTGTTTATCAAATTCATAATAAAATATTAAATTGAATGTTTATCTATACATATATATTAAACAGAATGACATATAATTACAGAAATGAATATTTCATTAAAAACTTCATTGATCAAATAATATTCTCTGTGTCAATATTTTGAGCACTCTGCTACATGTTATAAAGAAATGAAGATAAGGATGGGACCTGGACCTGAATTTTATTAGTATAAGGAACTCTCAGATAAGGAATCTCTTTCTCTCAATACAGGTCTATACCTCCTCTGAAACTTATATTCTTAGAAAGTGGCGTACCATACTGACGTGTTAAGTGACTTGCCGGGGTCACACAGTAAGTCTATGTCAGAGGAGGTCTTGAACTCAGGTCTTTTTGGCTCCGAAGCTAGCTGATTTATCTACCATACCATACTCCTAATATATGGTCCCTACTCCTAAGGAACACATATTTTAATTAAGAAGGAATTCAACAATGACAGAACAATCATCGTGAAATGGTATAATACTGAATCTAACTACAATTTTTAAAAATCAGTGAAGGAAAGGGTTAACATATGTTGGAGTAATGTACACAGGGAAAGTTTCTCAGAGGAGATAAGGTTGGGATGAGGCCTTAAATGATGACTAGAATTTGGAGAGATGGAGAGAAGGGGATTATGCCAATAGGTTATTAAGTTAATAGAAAAAAATACTCCAAAAACGAATACAATATTTCTCCATTTATCCAGTTGTCTGATTTCTAGTAACCTTCACCAACCACAGAACAAAGCAATGAACCTTGAGGGAAATGACAAAACTTCTACGTAGTTTGGAAGAGGGTTGTCACAAACTCCAGGAAGGGGGATTAGATTGCTAATACAGAAATTTTGACAGTCATGAGAAATGACAGTTAACAGCGAGGAATGAGATGGAAGAAACACCTACTAGGAAATATAGCAGTCAAGGGCTACTTAATGTAAAAATCAAGGACTCTGAATTCTTTAAGAGGTTCTAGAGGCTTCTCTGCAACATGTCATCATTAATACTGAAAATACAGATCCTTTGTCCTCAAAAAAAAAAAGCAATAAATGTTTCGTATCCCTAAAAGTATATAGACATTAAATATACTTCAAAAATTTGCATTACAATATGTCAAATACAACTTAAAGGTATAATGATCCTGAATCATTGCTGGTTCTGTCATGTGTGTTTGTAAGAGTGGAAATTTTGAGAGTCAGTGGCACCCATATAGAAGAGTAATACATTATGCATTGAATTTCCATCTTGATTTCAGTGCTTCTTAGCTGTATGACTAGGTTATGGCATTCATATCTCTTTGCAAAAGCTTTTATTTATTCATTCTTTCCTTCAATGATCTATTTATTTTCTTATTTATTCATTTAATTTTATCAAAATGGGAATATGATAATACATAACTTCTTATCTAAAAGATTTTGTAAGAATTAGTTGTATAGAAATTTGGAAACTTACTGATCACTACAGAGTAAAAATATACTTAATACAATAGCACTATTTTAATCATTTGCCATCATTGGTGGATAGGGAGAGAGTTCTGCATAAATAAAATTTACAAATTATTGAAACTTTTAATCTGAAGATTTGTTAACCAACCAATGAAACCAAAAGTAACACAAGCTACCAAAATAATTTCCCCAAGTGATACCAAATATTACTTTGTTTTGGAGATGATCAAATATGATAGTATGTATTCAGTGCTTTGCAAACTCGAAAAAGCCATATTAAATTTATTGTTTTATTTTTATCAAGAGTCAGTATGTCATAGTCAATAGAGAATCTTTCTTGGAGTAATTAAGCTCCAGGTTCAAATCCTTTGTCTTATACTTTGGTTATGTACCCTGTGCATGTCACTTAACCTTTGAATATCTCTGACTAAAACTATAAGTTAGTCACCTGCAGGTTGGGAGACAGGAAAGACCTCTTAAATAATATAATATTTGAGCTGTCTTACATGGAAACAAGAGTTGAAGGTGAGAAATTATCCTAGGCACGAGGGACAGTTAATGAAAAGTCAGAGAGATGGGAAATGGACCATCTGGGTAAAGAACAGCGAGTAGACCAGTATTACTGTAGGTGGAATGAATAAAGTGAAAAACTGGAAAGGTCTAAAAAGGCTATGTTGTGAAGAACTTTAAGTGACCAAAAATAACTTATATTTGGTCCTAGAAGTCATAGGGAACCATTGTAGTTTATTTAGAAGGTGGCAGGGGGTGGAGAGGGGAAGATCAGATGTAAGTTTTGGTAAAAATCATGATAGCAGCTAGAAGGAAGACGGATCGGAGTGGGGAGAAATTCCAGGAAGACTAATTTGAAGACTATTACAATAGTCCAGTGTGAGGTGATGAAAGTCTGAACCATAGTGTTATTTATGTGAATAGAGAGAAAGGAGCAAGTAGGAGAGCTATCATGGAAGTAAAGGTACAAGATTTGCAAGCTGATTAGATATATAAAATGAGTGAGAGGGAGGAGTTAAGGATGAAGCAGATTGTATATTGAGTGAGTGAGTGAATGTTGGCCTCTTGAAAACAATAGGGAAGATTAGAAAAGAAATAGATGGAGAGGAAAGATAATTGATTCTGTTTTGTACGTGTTGAGATTGAGTTGGGAGGGAAAGTGTGAATGAAGAGGTTTTGTTTTTGTCAAGGGAAAGGGCTACCTCTTCATCAAGGACTGGGATTAAGGAGGATATCGTGGAGGATAATGTCAGAGGGATATGACAGAAAAGATGGAGCCCCGGATGAATAACTTCGTTTTTCTTTTCTTGTGGTTGTTGTTGTTTGTTAGGGAAGTTAGAGGCAACATCTTTAGGTAAGAGAGTGGAGGAAAGGATGTTTTGTGAGACCTAAGGATAAAATAGGAGGTTTGGAATACAGGAGATTTGTGTCAAATTAGATTATTATTATGATTAATATGAACACCAGAACTGCACAGAATCCAATCCTAAGACAATGCTTAATGAGTGAACTTCATTCTCTTCTGAAATTGGTTGAAGTAAACTGTTGGTAAAAAAAAGGCTGAATATGTCTTTGCCAATGCCTTGCTCATCTAATCCATCAGCTGCTTTATAATCTTATTCTATGCTCCTTGAATTTACTCACTTTAGTTTTCTGGCCTTCCAAAAATATGTTCCATATCACTTGTATTTTCTATAATAAACTAACACATCATATTCCTTCATCTCATCTTTCATCACTTATCTTCCACATACTAAACTGACATTTCCATGAGATCAGATAATTATCTTCTACATCATTTCATACATATACATATACATATATATACATATACATATATATATATATATAATATATATATACATACACACACACACACACACACACACACACATATATATACATATATATATTGAAAGGCAGTCTGTAATATGACAGACCATGGACTGGCCTTAAAGTAAAAAAGACCTAGACCTAAGTTTTTCCTTCTTTCTTTCTTCCTTTTTTTGACATTTACTATGTGTGTGATCCTGACAATTCAGTTAATCTCTCAGTGCATGATTAGCAAACAAGCTGATGATCTGTATTTAGAAAGGGAATACTTAAATTGAGATTTTCCTGTATTTTAATGGAATCACAGGTCCCTAAGACTTAACATCACCAAGTTACATCTGTAGTGATGCATATGTACACACACACACACACACACACACACATACACACACACACATACATATACCATCATCATCAGGATTTTCCTATATTTTAATGAAATCACAAGTCTTGAAGATCCACCTCTAAATATAGATTGATAGATATACTGATTAACCTTTTGAGGGTAAACCTGTGATTTCATCTAAATATAGAAAAATTCTGTTAATATATGCATACCTATATGTGAGTATGTATACAGATAAATACACATGCATATATATGTTAGTTTATGCATTTTTAGATTCAAAGTGAGTTCCTGCTACTTAGCCAATTTCTCTATTATTTACTGACTCTATTGTTACATACATATAATAAACATGTTTTAAATAACTTTTAATGGGCCTAATAACAATATCCATCCTTCATAAAGATAAAAATCACTAATTACCTATGTGATATTGATTAAGATGCTTAATCACTGAGTGATCCAGTAAGCTTCCTAAGTCACAATAGACCAGTTACTGGTCTATATTCATAAAGAGAGTTTCTACATAAGCATTTTCCTATATTTGATGAAATCACAAATTATGACTCACTTGAGAGTATTAAATGTATACACAAATTTATATACACTATGAAAAGATAGTTCCTTTTTACCTAACTTTTAAGCAATTCATAGATTATTTATTGCCACTATGTGTTTTGGACATAACTTTTAATGTACTTGGTGATGGTATTTATCCTTCATATAAATGAAACAATCCTTTACCATTCCCTCCAAGGTAAGTCCTTCAGTGGGACCTCATTATGTATGTGTCTTATAGTGTTCAGAAACTAGCAATTCCCTCTG